CATGCCCAGAAAGGACCACCTTTGATCCACAAAGAAGCCGAAGTAGCTCTTTCGTCGCGAAGCCCCGAACCCCTTCCCTTCCTCTCCTCAAAATGTGACTCGTACCTACAGCCTGAGGGCAGGTTCAGTGGCGTCCCGCTCAGGCTAGGGACGGGGGATCATCCCATCTCGGGATCATCCCGAGATACAAATCGCTCAAAATGCGATTTCTCGCAAAAACTCGAGACTTCCAAATCCGCGTTTGTGGCCCTATTTATCCCTCCGTTTAATCTAATGCTGGACTGTAACAGATTTTGAGAGGTTATAAATAAAAAAAATGGGACCCCATTAAGGGTCCATACCGCCTGGTCCTTTCTGGGAACGGACGGATCCACTTACGGACCGTTCCTCGTATGTCAGTGTTGAGTCCACGTCAAGCTTCCATATGGTTGTGTTGACCACTTTCCACGGTCAACAAACCGTACATACCGGCTTAACCCCTTCCGATTTTGATGAAATTTTGTGAACTCGTAAGGTCCATTGAGAAATTAATCCACATTATATTTCGCTTCTTCGGTCGAGTGCTTTTTGAAGTGCTTCGATTTGATTATTGTAAAAAAAAGAGTCTTTTCTCGTCCGGCGGTCATCGCTCAAGTCCCCATAAGTTTTGTTTCGATTAACTTATGGAGACGAAATTAGTGTCATTTTCAAGCTGTTTTGCTGTACTTTGTGGATAGTAATGCGAGTGCATGAGTGAGAAACCTTGCAGTGTAAAACAGGCAACCCCCAACGTTTACCAAGCATTAAAAGTGGGTATAACGTAACTGAGACTGGAGTTGAAGTCGGGACCTTTTCGATTGAATTCCACGTTTTGGTATCGGGAATGCCATGAATCGCCAGAAAAAGGGTAGGATTCGTACGAAAATAAATATTGATTGAAACTAGAGTCGCGATTGCTGGATATAAGAATAAAATAAATAGTAATAAAATTCGTCCTCGACAAGAAATTCAAATGACGTACTACAGGAGACATAAGTTCTCATTAGCAACTGTAATTAAATATTTGATTTAGCAGTAGGCTTATAGAATTATGAAATTTGGCATGATACTCCAAACTAGACGTTTGTCATTTTCACGCTTCACATAGCCGATGATCGGGATTTTTTTTTTATTACAGCGTTATTTCCCAATCCTTAAACTAAATACGAAGGGTGACTCCCGTGACCGTTGGAATTTAGTTTGAGGGCCATGGGCATATCGTATCGGCCTCCATTGCGGTTACCCTCTCACGCGCAGTCGTCTTAGCATCGTGTCTCTCGTCGCTGCATCGCATTAACGATTTAGATGAAGGTCTCAAGAAGTAAAATCAGCAAATTTTTCGACTATACGAAAATGGGTTTCTCCCTCGGGTGGGAGGAGGACGGGGCGAGAGCCGATATGGATTAACACCTTTTGGGCGGATAGAGTATAAAATCTTGAAGTCGAACGAAAGTAAACGTTCGAATGATCCCCGAACGTCGAGGGAGGCAACCGGAAACACGCTGGGATCGATGCGAGACTCAAATCCTCCACGCACGCGCAGGCGCCAGCAGCCAAACGTAATAGGGGCTTAGGTGCGATCCGGGTTTCCATTCCCAACGAGAGCGAGCGCATCATTCTACATGCAGCTCTGGTTAGATCCCATTTAGAGTATTGCGTCCAATTTTGGAGACATGCAAACAAATGCGATCCGACGGCGCTCGAGCGAATCGAGAGGCGAGCTACGAAAATGATAAAAGAGGTACGAGGACTTTCATGCTAGAAGCGTTTCAGAAATGCTGGGACTCTACTTTTAGGAGTTCTATTTTTACCCTTTCACGGGCAATGTCCGCACTTGAGGACATGCTACAATATTTTTTTCTCGCCACCGTACCGCTAATGATTATGGAAAACCTCACCTGTACGAATTACCTAGAAACCGCCTATCACGCCCCGTTGAAAAAATCTCATTATAAACTCATGAGATCTGCCGAATTCCTCCATGAGGATAATGAGGTTTCGTGAGGCTCCACAAATTTCTCATGAGAAAGTTGTGGGACCTCTTGAGTCCTCTTTTCGGAAACCTCATGAGGATCTCATGAGGTCAGCTTCATGAGATCGGTCTCATAAGTCCTCACGAGATGGTCCAGATGCTTCGAAGATCACGAGGACATGAAATAGTATTTTTTGAGAAAAATGCTTTCTTTTTTTTATTTCTATGGAATCTTTAAATCATATATAATCTTGTCACAAAATTGCATCTGCAAGAAATTCGGAAAATAAGGAAATTCGCCCGCGAGAGGATTAAGATAATCAAGGGAGCCGATAACGTGGTAGATTTTTCCAACTCGATGTTACAGCAGAATGAGAGGAAACCGATTTCAGCGAACCCCAAGCGAAATCAATTCTTCACTTGCTGGGCAGTTAATGCGTGGAGTGACGATGCCGTTGCTGACTGGCTTTAAGCCTTCGTGGGCAAAGTAAAAAAAGCGCAGCTTCCACGTCCAAACCGGCTTAAATATTCCTCTAGTCGACGAATGCCATTCGTCAAATGGAATGATTTTTTTTTTTCGCCGAATATAGTACGAATCCATCGACCACATTCGGCCTTGTAAGTCGCTCGACCGGCGATTAGGCTTCCTTCTCTCCTTTGTCCTTTTGCCACGACTCTTCAGTCGAGCAGTCGAGAACGGTGGAGCGCGAAATGGAGACAATGGAGAGTGATCGTCGTCGGGTGTGCTTCGTGGTAGATGCACGCAAATTCCGAGTTCATTGCAAAAGGTGGAACCGTGACGCGGCGATGCCCTGTAAAATCCTACCGAGCAAAATTAAAGACCTTTGGGATAGGTTTTAAGTTCGATCCGTAAATGTTTTTACCCGTTTATACGTCGAAACTCAGCCACGGACCTCATGAAAATAAGATGATTGGGTGATGTCCGACCACGGATAGGATTCAGCGACGAGAGCTCCAAGTACTCAGCCTTTCTAAAGCATGCAAGAGAACAGAAATTACTCGTTGAGAATTCTCATCCAGAGTGTCTGGCTGTAATGTGTATTCAAGGCGGTAATGATGGTTTGAGTTTAATTTATATTAGCAGAATCTGTGACGAATGAGGTATTTGTGATATCTGTTGACGGGTGTGGATCTGCCCGGAACCTCAATTTTCTTGCAACGAACGTGACATGAATTAAACTGAATACGAATCTCATCAACGGTGATTAGTGGCAACAGGATCGTGGGGTTGTCGCAAAAGGCAACGTTTTCTTGCAAAAGGCGTTTCGGCCTTTCAATAGTCTCTTTCAGAAATTATCTCCATTTTTTTAAAAAAAAGTTTTGAGAACATCTCCAAACTAGTCAAAAATATTTATAAAAAAAAGAAATAGATAATTTAAATTCCCTTCAAGAAGATTTAAGATCTGTTAAGCAAAACTTTATGATCTCAAGCCTAATTTTCTCGGCATAGTACATGTTCACCGAATATAGGGGAACAGCAATGATGATGTAATGATGCAAGGCGATGCAGCTAACACGGAAATGAGGTTTCTCTACCCTTTCCAGCGTGTTACGGCCGGGGAACTCCGATTCGTCGTCTACTCGTCTGGAATCTAACGGCTCGTATTCCGAACGAGACCCGTCCGTCTCCCCGGCGTTCACGCATGCACGGGTGCTGGGACTAGAACGCATTCTCTCGCCGGTCGGTCGGCATGGAGGCATCCGTGGAGGCATCCATACGATTCCTTCGTGGATACCACCTTCGCATACTCGTTTTTTAAGAGCTGATTCTACTTTTTTCATCGTTCTTGTTTGAGTCTCGCAATTCATGCAGAAATAGGCAAAATCCACCCCACGTGAGTCTAGGTTCGAGAGAAATTGAAAATTTCAGAAAAATATTGGGCTTTTCGTTTTGAGGTCGTGAAACGCCGTCTTCCTTTTTTGGACTTGCGATCGCCAATGTCTCGCGAGGAAAAAATGCATTTTCCAACGACACGGAATTAATTTTATCCATAATGAGAGGGATATTGGGATTGCGGACGAATAGAATCAAAATTGCTCCTCCAGTTCAATGAGAGTAAATGTGAAGATTCTTCAGATCGGAGTATTAGGATGTACCTCTGGATACATTCGGTTCTCACATGAGGATTCAAACTTCACCGAGCAAAGCACAATACCGACGGTTAAATGTAACTGAATTTTCACGTAAGCATAACGCATCTCCCAAAATGACGCGAAACGAAACACCAACTGCATCCTGACCATGCTAGCGATTTTTCATGAAGTACATTTTAATGGAACGAAAATGAGTTGAACTGCATCTGAAGCGAGTTTGAAATATTTATTTTCATATACTTGGAAATGACAAACTATTAAGGTGGAATTTGTTCTTGGGCAACCCTGGGGTCACTCGCCAGCCTCTGACACCTGGAATTAGCCTTTCACTGGAGCTGTTGCACCTGGGAATGAGTGGGAAGCCATCAACATAGCCCTCACGAACAACTCTCTAACTGACAATACCAGTCCTACCACCTTGAAAGTCTTACAAAATATTTTTCACTGTTCTGTTTTCTAACCTCATGTCATTTAGGTGGCTACATCATATTGAGCAACATGTGGCATCCATCCCCATTCATTTATTTATAAAATATACTACATAACTGAGGTAAAATCTACTGATGACGAATGAGGCGATGTGGAATTCACCTGCCATCAGTGAAGAAAAGGGCTTTTTTTTTATAATAACAACGAACAAAGTTTTGCGAGTAAAAGTCATATAGCAGGTCCATGCCTTCTGCTATCAAAGGAAAAATAAAGATAAATGTAAATGATGGGGTTTTTGAGTAAAATATTCAATGCCAATTTGATTCGCATTGAACGTTTCCACGTCATCACCAATTCAATGCGAATGACGTTGAAACTGCTTCAATCCTTGTCACTGGTTTCTTTAGGGTATTCCTTCAACCTATTTTTAGCTGCATTTTTTGTAAGCAGGTATAAGTTTATGTACCTACTCTTTGTTGGAAGAGCCTTCACTAGGTGTGAAATCATATTCAGGGAAGAGGCTGAATCCCATTGAACCTGAATGATGATGTAACAAATAAATTGGTAATACCAATCACAGTTTCATCTACAGGGTCATCAGAAAAAGATGCTCCAGTTTTCATCACTAATATTTCCTGAACTACATTGCCAACAACCTCACATGTGGTATCATTTGACACGTCAGGCTTGGGAGTTTTGTATCGTACTATGCAGTCCTAGTGCTAATTTAGAGAAACAGTAGCAAACAAGCTAACGTATATTACTGAGCAGTGGGTGCTTATGGTGAAAAAGTTTTATCAAACTGGCAGCGTTAAGTGCAGTGTGGTTTTCGAAGTGAATTTTGACGTAGGGACACTCTAAGCACATCTGCAATAAACAGGCCAGTAACAAAATCGTAAATACTGGTAATGTGAAGGACAATAAGAAGGGATATCACGGTGGAAGAATTGAAGGTGGAAATCAGAACTGTTGTGGAAAACACTATTTGCGGCTATCGAAAACATCGGTGAATGTCTGCAGAGGATCATGGATGCTGGAGGCTCCCACATTCAAAACGCGTTTTCAAAATTAAAAACTCTCAAACATCCTGTGTTTTATAAGCTATAATTCCAGATTCTATGCATATTAATTTAGAAAATACTTGCGATTAAAACTAGAGCATCTTTTTCTGATGACCCTGTATTTGCAATGAAGTATTAATATACTTCCATAATATTTGTATCATTTTCACCAGCAGTTGGGCCTTGGTTGTCTATATGTGATTATCAGTGACCAAGAACAGAGTTAGGGGGGATGATATACTTCAGGGTCCACATCAGAATCTGCACGACTTCAACTCAGCCAGTTCATTACCACATCGGAGTAGATGGTGGGAACCTAGAGGGTTGTGCAGAGGTATAGTGTTCTTTGTGGAGTTCATGCAATATTAAGAAGTCAGAGGTAAAATTGTACGAAAATTTTCAAGACTCCATATACACACAAGGAAGAACTTGTAGGATGCAGAATGTGGATTGTGGCAGGCAGCAGGGTCGTTTCTAGGGGTGGGTGATCACCCAGGGTGCCAGCAGGGTAAAGGGGGAGAGGGGCACCATTGGAACTCCTTGCCCTGGGTGCCAACATGCCTAGAAACGACCCTAGCAGGCAAAAGGCCTCTTGGGAAGAAAGGCATCCTCCATCAGATGGGGCATCTTTTCATGAGTCCTCTGAGCATTATCAATCTACTCATCATTAAGTAATGTCCATAGCAAGTTGAGATGGTACATGATGCAGATAAGAGAGGCAGCACATTTTAATGGCAAAATGAACCAGTTTAACAGGACCAGTGACTTAATTACCAATGTCCACAAATTTGGCCCCCTAAGTTTCAGATTCCATCAGCAAGCACTAGCATAGGGGTGGGCAATTATTTTGGCTGGAGGGCCACCTCACAAGTTTTGGTGAGCTTCAAGGGCCGCACTCCAGTATCCCAGAGAATACCTCAATAGCACAATCATTGCTTGTTGGTCCTATTCCCTCCTTTGCAGTAAAAACTGGTCAACAGCTTCTTCTACCACATCATGTTTTTTGACCATCCAGATTCTCACAAAAAAAGACTACCAAGTATATCACTCTCAAAAACATTTCGTGTCATTCATCTTCAATAGAGTTAAAGTGCACTGTGGTGTAGCCTATAGGACTGTCTGTGACAAAATGCATCCAAATGGCTTGAATTCTAAAAAATCTCACTCAGACGGAACAGATAGATTCGCAATCTCAGATACCCACAAATCCCAGAGTTGACAGGTTTGACAGTTGGGCCAGGCCATCCTGGGAAGCATGACATCTTGATAATTAATAGCCTGAATGCCAGGAAAGTGCCATTCTATTGTAGAAAAGATTGAATTTGAAACATGGCTTTTTGAGGCGAGTTGAGGAGAGTAAAGGAAGGGAAAGAGGGCCTAATAATGACCAACGAAATGAGCAAGCTCAACTCATTCATTGATTATAATAGGTCCTTTCTATGACTAAACTAACATGTTTCTTTTTGTTAGACAGTGGTGGGCTGGATAAAATCATTTGGCAGGCTGGATTCGGCCTGCAGGCTGTATTTTGCCCATCCCTGCACTAGCATCTGCTATTAATGCCAATGCTTGTCACTAACTTCACATCAACATCTATCATAGACAGAGTGTGGGAATTTCATTTGGAGAGCTAATAAGGCTGTACTTCTGGATCCAATTTTTACCACATGACTCCTGAATAAGAATAGCCAAATAACTGTTGACAATATTGTTGCCTATACATTTCACCATGGACAATAATTCTTTTTCCAAGGAAACAATTTGAAAAAAAAAATTTGGGAGGGCTTTGGATCCCCAAAACATTACAAACTCTATGCAATGGCCAAACTATGGCAATGATCAAAGACAGGAAATTCAAAATTGATCCCCGATTCATTGACTTCCCTCAGCACACTACAGGACAAATCACTGAATAGAGAAGATGCATAAGATTGTTTCCTTCAAATGGATCCCACCACATGACTTGACATGGAGCTATGATGGACAGTTGAGAAAGTAGGAGAATATAATCCAGAAAAAAAAAAGCAGAAAATATCTGGGCTACATGAGGGAGCAGTTTTCACTACTGGGGGAAGGGACATCTGGGAGAGCAGGGAAGAGGTCGACATCGCCAACAAGCTCCTTGGGCGGATGACCCAAGTCCTGCATCCGCTGCATTGCAGCAAAAGCTCGTTCAAATTGTGCATCTGACTCCTCACCCCTCTCGAAGTCTCGACACAATTCTTGGATGATGACCAGCTGCTCCTCGTAGCGATGCCTATCTTCCTGGGGCAACTCCTTGTGTTCATTCAGGTATGCTGGATATCGTTCACCAAGATCTTTTAAGGCTGGGTAGAGCATGTCCTTGGATAACAATTGCTTCATGACTCCCTGCATCATCGGCATGATTCCTTGAAAGTCTCCTGGTTCCTCTGCATTCAAGTTAGGGGCCCTGGAGTCATTCATCTTACCAAGGACTTCTGCCATGATACGCTGGAACTCTGCTTCATCTGGTGGCTCTGTTCTGGATGCTTCACTGCAACCCTCAGCATTCCCTTGGGCAGACAGAGCTGACCGCATGCTGGCTTCAAACTGCTGCGTTGCCAAACGGATGAAGTCTTCAGTCCATTCAGTCCCTACTTTCTCCTCCTTCTCCTTCCCTTTCTTCTCAAATTCTTCTAGTTTCTTCTTATCAAAATCAGACAAAGTACTTGCTAACAGGTCCTCAAGCTCAGGGTCATCATTTACATCCTCTCCTGTCTCTTCATTTTCCTTTCCACTTGATTCAGCCATTTCAGTCAATTTGTTGAATGAGTCTCCCACTTATGCTTTAGGACATTGATTTTCTTGTTGGAGACTGCAATCAGGAGACTATGGGTTCCATAATTCACTACAAAAAGAGAGCAAGAGCAAGTGTGGGGACACAAAGTTTCAAATTGAATCCTTAAGGCTGGAAGCTGCATATTTTCCCTTCTAGTTTAACACCTATTTGCATGGGATGTGCTTTAGTCAGATGTTAGAAGACAATTTCAACGACTCTGAAAACAATATAACAACATAGAGTAGCACAAAAACTAAAAACAGTACCAGTGATACGACGAAGGGGTTCATTCGGATTCCAATCTTGGTGCACCAGTGAAGCTGACTTCAGGAACTGAAGAACCCTCTGGGCAGTAGTTTCGTCGTTCTCGAGTTCACCTCCACTCTGCAGTATAGATGAAAAAAAAAGTTACTCGTACAGCCTGCAAGCGGTTTAGTTCTAGAATGTACAGTCATGAAATTTATCGCAAGGTCCGGCTTCGAAAGCATGAGGGATGTCTGATATCTACGAGGATTTCTTAGGAAACTGCACATAAAAGGCACATTAGGCCTAGTCAATGATGAAAAAGTGGAATGAGAGGAAACAAACCACGAGAACAGCTCCGTCTTCGTTCAGAACCAGGTACCCGGAAACTGCAGATGGAAGTTTGTCCAAGCTCATCTGCAACATCCTCTGCTGCAACTACTCGAGAAGCCGGAGATATCCCCCACGTTTCCCCTATCAGGACGAAGCCATGCTGAGTACCGACGCCAGCAGCGACACGTACCGGAAACTTAGGGAACAACGCGTTGAGAAGCTGGAAAGAGGGGTGTCGCTAGGGAGGACATAGGAAGTGGTAGAACGGAGCGCAGTCGCTTGGAAGGAGGGAGAGTCTGGAAGTGAGAGAGAAGCATCGAACAGCTGCTTGCTTCTCCCTTCTCTCCTTCCTTCCTTCTCCCTTTTCCTCCGCCCCCCCCCCCTCCCCTTCCCAGTCTCCAGTCTCTCTCCGTCAGAGTGAGGAAAGAATGCGAGACTCTTCGTGTTCGGTATCCTACGCGACGACGTGCGATCCACGATGACCAGGGATTCTCGTCGTCGTCGTCGTCGTCATCGAGGAGGCGATGAAACGAACTCTTTTCCGGTATGCATCCATCGCTGAGAAGCCGCTCCGGGATATCCTCCAACGATGGAGACATAGCCTAGCGTGTCTTCTCTTCTTCCTCATCATCGTCACGGACAATTTCGGATTGACGTCGTGTACTTATTGCCCGGATCCTGGGAATCATCCCCATCCTCATCTTCAACATGGGTGGAAGAACCTGTTCAATTCCAGCACGTTGAGTGGCCGACATTTACAGTGCCTTGACCGCTATGTGCCCGGCTGTTCTAGCTGGCTCTTAAGTAATTGTTCGAGCCCGGAAGTGGCATCTTCGACTTCATTACGTTTCTGTTCGCATCTGAATTCATCACTAGTGGGTTATGTGGATCCGTTCTGGGATTGCCTGGCCGCAGCCGCTTTCTGCACCTTCAACGATCTCCTCGACCGATTCGACTGTCGTCGAAACGCTTCCGCCATTCCTTATTCCCTCCGATACACTTGCGACGACTGCAGGGCAAGTTTTCCTTCCCAAGTTTTCTCCCACTCATGAATATGCATGCCATGCCGCCTCCCCCTGCCAGCCCCTATTCTCGTCAATACTTCTCCCACTTACCACCCGAAAGAACCGAGAAAAGACCCTGTTTTCCGCCCTTCCGTTATCCTTCCACAGACGGTGATGGAAGTTGATACGGCATGTATGCAGTACCAACCGAATGCACCGTCCATTTCTGCCTGCTTCGCTTAATTCAATCTCCGACTGATTATGCCGTTTAGTGGCTTTTACTCTTTCCATATTCAAGTATGGTGGATTGAGTGCCATGTACTCGTTCTCATGCCCCTCTCTCCCCCCACGAATCTCAAACTAAAGCATTCAGCAGCTTCACGGTAAGTCGGAATTAAACGATTTCGGGGGGCCTTCGGCTGCGAGACGATAAACGGACGAGGAAAATTTTAAAAAGTAATAATAAATTAGGCGTTGATTGGGATCGAACTCGGAAGCAAAGGTAGATTGCGAAAGCTGACGTAGGCATGATGCAAGAGCCCTCAGCGTGTTGAAAGGGGATTTTTACACTCTCATTCCTACGGTTGATCGATGCGGAATCGAGAAGCACGAAACATGTCGTGAGTTTCGGGCTTATCTCCACTGCAAAGATAGACATTCTATCCCGCCACCTGCTGGCCGAGGGAGAAGGAATATACGAGGGAATCTCGTTTGCACCTTTGTATATTTGCAAGAAGGGATCGAGTGTCGCAAGACTCGGGCTCAAGGTCTTCTCACACCTTTTCCCGTGAATGGGAAACCCTTGGAGAAAAAGGTCCCTTGAATGATTGCTTCCTGATGAGCGAGAATCGACCTGACCTGTGTTCCACCTCTTTTTTTCCCTCTTCCTTCATTTTTCCTTTCCGCTCTCCCTTCATCTTTTTCCCGTTGGCCCCTTGCCAGGGAGAGGAAGAGAGCATACATAGATAGAAGAGCTAGAGAATCTATCGATTAATCCGAGGCCTTTCCTCTCTCTCTCTCTCTCTCTCACTCCGTTTTTTTCTTCCCGCTCGTATATCCAGGACCAGCCCTGGGAAATATTATCCATAAGGCCGAGGGGTGCCATAGTGCACAGGTGAAAAGCCCTCTGGTTTCTAATGAAGATGATATTGACATTTCCCTGGGAAGACGATATCCTATATTGTGTGTGTACTCGCACTAATTGCCCTCTCCCGTCTCTTCATCTGTCCTACCTTTCCCCTTTCTCCTTCTTCCCCGTGCTCCAGGAAATTCATGGAAATCGCCCCTCTCCAGATAATCCCTATGTAATCCACTTCGGTTAACGTGAATCCTTGCCTAATCGCGTTCCCCCGATCCCATTAATTAGCGAATCGGAGCCGGGTGTTTAGGTCGGTCTTTTTCCGAACGAAAAGAGCTCTCAACGCAGGAGAAAGGGTCCGGCCATTCCTCATGGTTCCCCCTGGAAGATTCTTTTTTTTTTTCCTTCCAGGAGAGAGAGTGTGTAAGGGGTCCAGCTTCTGGTTTTTCTACGAAAGGGAGGAGGCGAGGAAGGGCAGAAAGAAAGAAAAAGATCGATGAGAAAGACTCATACACACACTCGCTCACTCGCCGAGCCTCTTTATTCCCCTTGTCCTTCATATTTCTTTTTTTTCTCCTTTCTTGTCATGAAATTTTTTACCTCATCCGAAAAAAAGGCAGCGCTTGCGTGGAAAGCAGGCCATTCTCAGGAGAAATCGTCAGATGAATTATGGAGCGTTAACACGAGGATATCGGAGCTCAAATGGACGGAATGAGATATTCCTTCGGCAGCTGGGGATGATCGCGAGGACTCCTTCGAAATGCTTTCTCGAGAGAAAAATGGAGTGCATACGAAATGGGATGAGAATCTGTCCATCCTAAGGATAGACGTAAAGGCACGAACGCACAGACACACCCGCATGCCCGAAATGCTCTGTCCATCCTAAGGATAGACGTAAAGGCACGAACGCACAGACACACCCGCATGCCCGAAATGCAAGTAGGAGAGAAGGGGAGTGCAGGCTGTGCATCTCCGTAATTTTCTTCTCCCTCGTGCATTCAAGCCGGTCGGAGATGAAAAAAGATTCAAAATTAAAATTTTTTTCAATATAAAAGAGTTATGGTTTTGAGTTGCGAAGTGGGGATGCTAGGGCATTAAGGGCATATGAGACGTGCTTTGAATTTCATCTGCCTCAAATTAAGACACTCTCGGTGATTCGTCATCCCTTACTCTCAAATATCGGTATATAAGCTTGAAATAATCTGCAAATAGGGTATAGTTAGATGGGATAAATGCATACCCATAATGAAAACTTCCTTCTTCCGAAGCCTCGCATTCCTACCTCGTGTGAATTTGAAACGTGCTATTTGGCAGCCATGGTGACTGGCCATTTCTCCAAACGAGATCATCTACAGATGTACAACCCCAACAGGGTAACGAGCAATCAATCTAAATAGGGTTTTGGATGAAGGAAGGTATACATTTACCCTCCCCCTTCCCCCGAGTGCTGAGGTGGATGTGTACATTTCTCTGAATAATTCACTAATGACATTAATTATGTAGATGTCAGGTGTGCTGGATGCAACTCTGTCGTGCCAGGTGATTTGCATGTCATTGCTGTGCTTGCCTCAGAGATTTTCTGGTAGTGAAAATAAAAGTAGCGTAAGCTTCGATTTATTATTTTAAAAAAGCTCTGCTGAAAAAAAAACATGAGAAACAGAACATAAACCAAAATCTTTCTTATGCAGAACTATTTTGCTTTTAAAAAATCCTCTCGTATTCTTCCCAGCCGGATTTCATGTTTCCCAAATTCCTCAGGCTCATTTTTTTTGGCAAGCAATGAATTGGATGGTTTTCACGTCGAAGTTGAATATTCGAGCTTGAAACTCTAATAAGAAAGTGCCATTAGGCAGTTTCGATTCAGGATCCTGGATAAATCCCAGAATATGACGATCACGAAAAAAACTTATTTCTATACATTTGGGAAACTTTATTGTGATATCGATCACTGTATTTATTTATTTTTATGTTAATAATAAGGTCATAATATAGTTATAATGTTAATATTTTTGGTTTGAAAGCATCACAGATTAGACTGAAATACAAATGACATTCTGAGAAGAAGACGACTCTTATTGAGGCTAAATCACGTTCTTCCTGGTATGGTATCATCAGATGGGATGGGAGGGAGTGGGATATATACGCTCACTTACCTTGGTTAGTGGAATTGCCCCAGGGCTTGGTAGCTCTGGGGTATCTATACCCCAACTCCTATCTCTCATGCTCATGTCTCACGGGCCTTTTCCCTTCCTCTTATGAGGTACACACATTAATGTTGTAATGTGAGCTCTGGTGCAAATGTCTCTGATAAGAAAGAAAATGCAAAAGGAGAAAAAAATGCCTGGATGTCTTTGGTTTCCATTTTGAGCTCCAGAGCTATATGGATACTCAAGTCTCATATATGTGAAATCTGTGCAGCTCACCGACTGACAACGATGATTGCGCTTCTTCAAAGTATGAATCACAATTCCCAGAATTTCGCATCTTCAACTAAATCATAAAGAATAAATTGAGGGGTTTTGAGCCTGGGTGCACATCTTCATCCGAATATGCACGTGACCACCTTAATATGTGACCCTCGAAACGCGATGTCATGCCTCTGAAAACGAGAAAGCAACACTTTATGTCATGAGAGTCGTTAGTGAAGACAGAGCACCTGGAGATCCTTCCCTTCCTAATTTGCATCCAAATGGTTTCTTAGTTATGAAATAATTAGGAAGAGCAAATGAACTCTTCAATGAATGGCTTACCCTAAGTTTACTTTTGAGTCAAATGCAAATCCTACCCAACCTTCATT